GCATTTGAGAGGCGTTTCCAGCAAGTTTATATGGCTGAACCAAGTGTTGCCGACACAATCAGCATTTTGAGGGGGTTGAAAGAGAAGTATGAAGGGCATCATGGTGTTAAGATTCAAGAAGAGGGCTTCAATTTTTAGCTTATGGGTTTTTGTTTTTTAATTATTGGTGAAATAATTGGCATTGATCTGATTACCGGGAAACATCTGTCTGACAAGGCCATTGGCCTTGTAGATGAGGCTTGAGCAAATGCAAGAGTTCAACTCGACAGTCAACCTGAAGAAATTGATAATCTAGAAAGGAAGAGTACTCAATTGGAGGTTGAACTCCATGCTCTTGAGAAGGAGAAGGATAAAGCCAGCAAAGCTCGGCTTGTTGAAGTGAGTATTTTGCATTACAATTGCTGGATTGATCTCAAGTCTTATCTAAATATGGTATTATTTCAAACTTACAAGGTCTGACAATCCTAAGAATTTTTCAGGTAAGAAAGGAATTCAATGATTTGAGAGATAAACTCCAGCCTTTGATGATGAGATACAGAAAGGAGAAAGAAAGAATTGATGAGCTCCGGCGCCTCAAGCAAAAGCAGGACGAGCTTTTGTATGCCTTGCAGGAAGCTGAAAGAGATATAATCTTGCTAGAGNTGTTTCGAGGTAACATTGGAAAGCGAGGTTCATATAGAAAGTAAAAGAATACCCACTCCTAAAAAAAATGAACATGCATGTACTGTTCATACAGTACAAATAAAAACCAAAGTGAAAAACAAACCCACTATTAAAAAAGAAAAAAATAAATAAAATATCATTCTCTCCTTGCTGTAAGGAGAGAATCTCTCCATTCTCTATAGTTTTTTATTTACTTAGTCTTATCCTTATATTTTTTTATTAATCAATGTAAACATGCCACTATTTTACTTTCGTTTTTTCACACGCAAACGTAAAGTACAAAAAAGTCAAATGACAGTGAATTAACATCATTTCTTGGACCAAAAAAAGAGGGAAAAGGTAAATAGTTTTTCTATTATAGATTTAACAATGAAATTATGCGTATTAGTACCTTGGGCTAGATAAATTTGTTAATCTTGGAAGCTGGAACAGCTTCTTCAAAAGAAGATGACAAGCTTGAAATATTATAGCTTACATTCAAACTGATGTTCTCAATAAGCTCCCAAGAGAAGATGAAAAGGGTGAAGACCTTTATTGATTTCGTGAGACTCAAACAACAATTGACATGAAAACTAAACAGAACAATCACCATACATACTTGAAATAATAAAAATGAGAAACCATAATATATACTAAAACGAACACCATTGCAAAATTTAGTATGTAAACTAAGATGATGTAGATTTGGCAATATTAGACAATAATAAATATAATAGAAAAGTAAAATTTGAATGCTGTACTCTTTATTACGATTTAAAATTGCATATAGAACACGAATTACAATAAAAGTTGCAACTGAATTTATAGAGGTAGTGTATTCACTCTTGTTTGTGCTAAAACACATACATAATTAGACATGGACAAACCAACAGCTAGATATACTCTAAATTTCTGACTATTTCATAAATCTAAAATAAAAGGAAACATGTTTCTCTCTTAGTTTTAAAGTCAGTCATGAGAAATTATGGCAGTTAAGCCACAAATATTTCATGCAGCCTCCAACTGTTTCTTTTCCCTAAAACAAAAGTTACAGGCAAAAAATTTAAGTACAAATGAAATAANAATATTTCATGCAGCCTCCAACTGTTTCTTTTCCCTAAAACTAAAGTTACAGGCATAAAATTTAAGTACAAATGAAATAAATTTTTTGAGTGATAACTGTCAAAACAACTCATTGCGAGGTCTGCTGTGGCAGAAGAAAACCAACAGCAATTTTCAGAATATTGTGCACCTTTAAATTCACTACGATCAATGAGTGCAAAAGGCAAAAGAAATTGGATTAAAAATGTAACCAACAGACAGACCTTGTGTGCAGAAATATCAAAATCAAAGACCTTCCCGTTGTACACAATGGTTATTTTTTCAATTTCAGCATTCCTCTTGAAACCATAACTCGGCCTGAAAAACAGAGAAAATGTTTGATAAATTACAAAAAACACAGTAAAAAGGATCAATATAAATATACATACTTCAATGGTGAGAAAAATGTCTGAATAGGTTTATTCGAATTGAATGACAGTCTTCAAAAATCAAAAACATGCATATACTTACAATTGGAAGGGGCTGAATTGGAGGAGGCGAGAGTCAGGGGAAGGAAGAGAAGGCAGGAGGTCAGGTGAAATGAAAACGGGTAGGCCTTTACAGGTAGTGAGGAGAAGAGCAGGAGTTTCTAGCTCGCAGCTTCCCACCTTTACAGCAAATCCCACCTTTAGATTATCCTAAAAATCATCACCAATTGGGGATCTCGATTGTGAAAGAAAATACGAAAGAATTTGGGTTAAAGACTATTAGTTTCTCTTACTCGCCGGTGATTTATCGCGCAAAATAAGAAGGAAAAACTCACAGCGAAGAAGGAAGGGATGGAGAAGAAGAAATGAAAAGTTGTTGCATTGGTTGTGGAATGAAGTGAAGTTGTGTGTAAACATGGGAAAATATTGCATTGCGTGTGAAAATGGAGAAATATTGCAGTGGAGGTGATGGTTGCGCGAAAAAAAAAAAAAATGAAGGCAGGCAGGCAGGCATGAATGTTTTGGAACAACCGCACACTTCCATATGGCCCGGTCAACATGGCCCAATGTACTCGTGGAAAAGAAATATTTTCCACATTATTTAACCATATTCCGAAATTCAGGATTAACTGTTAGGAGTCTCCATGAAATACTTTCTTCGAGTATTTTTTTACTTATAATTACTTTTATTTAATATGAGTTGGCATTTATAAAAAAACCAACAATTCTCTATAGGTATGAATTGAAAATAGTTTTGAAATTAGTGAAAAGATAAAACAAATCATGGACTTCTTTTTCTTAATACATTATATAAGAATATCCAGTTAATGACAATAAATGCAACTGACACGACAGTAGCTTTTTAGAATCATCGACGAGGTCCATTTTTGCTCACATGTCGTGTTCGTGTTCAGTTTAACAAAATCAGGCCACCGATTTATTAATAAACTCTAATTCTTGAAACAGTCAAAACAATTACAATTATGATGAATTAACAATAAAGGTCCGTTCAGCATGGACCCGGATGTCCGTGCTGAATGGACCTTTTGGTCCGTTCAGAATGGACCATTTTTGGTCCGTTCTTTTGGTCCGTTCAGAACGGAATTCAGACCAAAAATAAACCTAATTTATAGGCTAAGTTGTAGATATTATATTGTTTCCGTTGACTTCTTATACTTTATTATGTTTGCGTGTGAGAAGGGAAGTCGTGTTGTACTATACGTCATATCGTTTCAACTTTCCCATTCCTTCCATTTTCCTTTCATTCTCTCTTTCTTTAGCTTTTCGTTCCGTTCCCCTTTATGTACTATTAAACGGCTCGGCTTTGATGGCACACTCAGCTCCACGAGTCCAACATGACCATTCGGCTTATGAATAGTAAACACAGAATTGCCTCTTTTATATAGTAGTGAATTGTTTATACACACAATACATTTATTGAATTTAAAACATTAAATTGAAGGCCACAAATTCACTTGTGTGGTCTATTTAATGATAATTTTTTTAAAATATGTTTACCTCTTTTTTTTTATGGACTTTTTCAACCTGAACCTGCCCCTAATTTTTCTCTCGCTTGACATTCAGCCACATAACATCATGCGATCATCAACCTAAAATTCGGTCAGTAATAAGAAAATCAGGGAGCCCGACTTGACGTGCCTGTGCTTCTTCCAATGCTTAATAATGGTAAAATTTATGACGTTTTGATGTGGAAGATTGAACAGTACTAGAAAGAAAAAAAAAACCTAAAATTCGGTCAGTAATATTTTATAGCATTGTAGAATCCAAAGTTGCATTCTACATGCTTCAACACCTGTAAATGAAAAGTAAAACAAGGGGAAAACGTTACAGAATTCATTGTAGGATGCAATTGCAATGTCATTCATAAATATAAACATCAATAGAGTTTTAGAAGAACTACAATTTGGCATCTACAAATGAAAGAATTTTGAAACTGATGAATAACGGCGAAGATGAAAGACTAGTGCTAAAATCAAGTGATATATTGCTACCCTCAAACGAGCTAAATAACTCCCGACTTATTCCACACAATAAATATATATGAAGCAAGTACAACTTACAATTGGGAAAATGGAAGCTGAAGGTTCAATGTGCACTTCGAAGAACTGCAGAATATATTAATGCAATATCATATGACGACCAGGACCAGCAAGTGACAAACTGATTAATCTCTTCTACTGGTATAAAAGAAAATGCACTAAGGGGGTTCAATTGAACTCCCAATCAAGTAATAGGCCAAATGTGAATATACGTCAAAAAATCGTTATACCGGAGCTTCACCCCTAAAGTTAGAGACCCTTTCTAAGTTCGTGTTTGAAAGTGATTTGTTGAAAATCACTTTGCCCAACTCTCATTTTAAAACACACATCTCCAAAGAAATAAAATAAAATAAAATAATATTTAGGTTTTCCATAAAATTTTAACCACATATCCTCTTAAAAAAAAAAAATCACTTTTCAAAGCAACCTAAATGTACGGTTCCATATCTTCTTTTGATGGTTGGGGCCTGACTACCTGAGTCAAATTTCAAAATAGGAATTTAAAACGGTAATTCATTGACATCTCCCCTTTGTGGATTTGTATAGTGTTTATGCACAACAATTTTACAGCGGTAAA